CTCAGAATAACTAAAGTTATTTCTTTGGGAGTGAGGTTTCCCAAAGTTACCATCAGTGGTAAATTCATCGATCACGTATAACTGATATGGCGCCATCTTCTGGTGTATTCAAGCCAATATATCTCAAAGTCGTCGCTTGAGCTAAACCCGTCCTGTTCTGATCCTTCATCTATTCACCGAATTTCTCGAATCAGGGAGAGTGTGTCGCCGAAATCACTCTGGATTATTTTTGTGGTAGTGATACACAAGGTATAGCCATTTAAAGAACCTACGGAAATTGTTCACTAGTTGGACTTAAGGTAAATAACTTTCAGATTATTTTCAAATAATTTATCTCATCACGAATCGTAACGTCGCCTTTTGTCCACGCCGATCACACACCGTTGTAAACAGAGTCTATTGCCATAAATGGTGATGGTGAATGTGGGAGTGTATGGCTGCGGCTGGAATTTCCGCAATCCAGTCACCTCTGACCGCCGCATCAGTGTTGTCCGTTTCTGCTTAGATCTACAGTCATTGATTGAAAATTATTCAACAATTTTTACCAGAATCACCTGCAAAATATCCCAGGTTAAATTTGTCCACCATTACAGATAAGGGCAATCCTATACTTTAGTGTGTTTTATTATTTTGGGTTTCTAACTTCAGTTTAACCCTAAACCTAACCCTAACCCTAAACCTAAACCTAACCCTAACCCTACCCTAACCCTACCCTAACCCTAACCCTACCCTAACCCTAACCCTACCCTAACCCTAACCCTAACCCTAACCCTAACCCTATGATATGCACGAAGAGCTGTTATTAACTGAAGTTAGAAACCCAAAATAATAAAACACACTAAAGTATAGGATTGCCCAGATAAGGATGCAGAAAATCCTAACCTGAACTAGATTTCTAGCTGATGTAGTCTTGAACTTGAACTTTGAAGAAACGGGCTTGATGATAGTCATCAAAAATTGAGTTTCAGATTATCATGATTATGATTTGAATCTTGCTTTGAGCTTTGCAGACAGTTTGTCACTCTGCTTGAATTTGCAATCACATTCTCATATTTGATAAATAGCAAACGTTACCAATGTTCATTTAACTTCATCATTCATGCAACCTTCTAATTGTCTGTGAATATGAAGTTGATGAATATATTATTGTTTAACCTCGAAAAGAATGGACTTAAAAATGAAATAATAAAACTTGAGTATAACTTAAACTTTCTAGATGATGCCAGGGCCAGGGTAGATCTGGACCAGGCATCCGATTCTCAACTGGTGGTGCCACTTGTAGCGTTTGTGGTCAGTCGGAGTGGGGCGCGGCTTTTGCAATGACAAAAAAATAATTAAAAAAGAAAATATATATTTAGAACTAGACTCTACTGTCTCTAGGAGTCTAGAATAGGTCTAGTCTATTTCTAGTCTATTATTTTCATGTGTTTATTGCAATAACTACATTAGGTATAAATTTACTTCCAGTGTTATTGTACCCAAGCAGGAATCCTACTAATTTTTATCTCATCATTATGAAATTATGATTTATATGTTTTGGAATAAAAAGGTGTTAAAATCCTACATCTGGGCCTTTAAGAAGCCACCAGCTTCAGGAGGCTCTGCCCCCTGAACCCCTCCGTTGTGCTACATTCTCTCGCAGCACAGTCACCAAACATACAGGTTGGCACATGACTGAAGATGTTTTGTAATGTAACTTGTTGCTAAGACATTGTCATACTAAGGAGCCCGAAAAGACAGGTGAATACAGGTGAATACTGTCAGGGTACTTGTGGAATCATTTGTGCTTAGGGCTACAGGTATGTTAATTTAGAAGGGGTCTAGGAGTAGGAGTCTAGGAAGTTGCTGATACCTGTATTAAATAGGCAGAATTAAGAGAAAAATCTAGTGCTCTTTACATCTCATTCGTAGCCTAGAATGATTCAATCATAATTCTATCAGTTCCTTCCTTCATTTGTATTCTAATTTCTAAATCAGCTTAGTCAGTGGGCTGTTTTAGCACAGCTCTACTTGGTAACCAATTACTTAGCTACTTAAACCTCTCACTGCAGTTTAAGACATGTAGATCTATGTCTTGGCGAATGTAGGAAGTTAAACTTCAAAAAGGCATTTAGAGCTGTCTGGTGTGCAAGGTTATCTGAGAGTACCTGTTGTTGTACGTATGAGTGCAATCTTTGACAGGACCTCTAGAAACAAAAGTGAGATAAGAAAAATAAACTATCACTTATATTAATCATTGAGGGTCTTATATAACATACATAAAAGAATAAAATAATGATTTAGGTTAATACTGATAAAAAACATTGATTTATGTACAGTACTTACATAGAGATTGCCAACCTGGTTTGTTTTTAAATGATTTTTGTCCGTCAGAGCACATTAGTGACTAACGACTAAGACTGGTCTTGAGGTTCTTATGTAAATACTAAAGCTACATGTGCATCTACATGTTCTCTTCTGTGAGAAATCTTCATTAACAATTTGTTTTTGAGTATCATTAAATTCCAAAAATAAATCTAGAATACTATTATGTTTTAATCAGTCCTTAAATTAAAGCATGTACTGTATCAATGCACGATAGATCTATAAATCTATACCAAAAACCTGAACAAGAAGTAGTAATCTACATGATCGATTACTTTACATTATACTGTACTTCATGTCTCTTGATCACAAATTGAAATTAAAAAAAAGCGTTATCTTTCATATTCAAATCAGGAATGGAAAATCACTTGAAGTACCAGGCCCAAGTGATGCCAAATCATTACTACAGTGTACCACTATTACTGATGATGATTATGATTATGATAACAACAACAATAAAAATATTCTTGTAAAGTCAGAATGCATCAGAAGAGCTTAGGTATTTGTTCTAGTTCATCGTGACTGTGCCATGGACCAGTGATGGCCTGGCGGTAGAGTCGCTGCCCGGCAAGCAGTAGATGCATGTTCAAATCCCGCTGGTTCCAAGATTTTTCTATCTTGTTTTTCAATACACATCGATCAATCGATCTTATTTACTGGGTGTAAGCCACAAATATGTTAAAATAATTAAAAAAAATAAATAATAAAAATATTAATATAACATTCAGCATGATTTTGAATAAATCATACATTGTAAACGAAAAACTGCAATTTCTTCAAGGAACATAACGGTTCAGTAATCAAGGATTAATATCAATGCTCAGAGGGTCAGAATTGTGTGCATTATGATGATGCTGGGGTTTCCTGGTCTACACTAGACCTCTGTTCTGTTCAAATTATTTTTGTATTATTTTCGTAATGAATATTGTTGGTCATTCTTTTGAAATTCAATCCCATCACATGAACTTTCAACATCAAGGATACCTTACCTTCCTATAACCTGTAGTGACAGCTTACATTTCCACTCCCTCTCCTACCCTGGGTTCGTGCAGGAAGTCAGTCAGCTCAATACTGCTTTGACATTTGAGCATCTGCTGTGAATAAAGAAAAAAATGTGGTTGTTTTGCAGGAAGTGCAATGATAGGATAACGGAACATCTATACTTGTACTTATATAGATCGAAACACGTCCACTTCCGTGCTGGCATGCTGTGTATGTTATACTAGTATTGGGAGTGTGTGAAGGAAAGATTATAGGTGCAGGATATAAGGCCTGTCTCGCTCTTGCTTGTTATCATTTGCATTCAGTTTTTGTTTGGAGAAAGTACTGTTGCGTTTGTACAGCAAGTAGATATCATGGGTAAGAATTTGAAAAACATAATATTACAGCCTGATTTTAGCTTTCATGATTAAATTCTTATTGTAGATTGTGAAATTTTCAAATCCGATGGCATACATGTAGGGAAGTAAATGGGACATTATGTTCATTTACACGTACTCAATCTGAATATTTGGATTGCGCTTTTACAGTCTGTACGTGTACATGTATGTACGGGCCCTATTTTAAACCTTCACAATTTAGGGGTCTGGACTTCAATTTTGGGTGCGCATGAGCCCTGGGCACCTGTTAGCATCCAACCCTGCTTTGATATTGCCTACAATCTTTATTTCTTGCAGATTTTAAAAACATGACAAACCCGGAAGGGTACAAGTTTACCCTCCCAGATGGGAGATATGCTGATGGAACGTGGGATCTCATCATCTATATCACCAATCTGGAGACGGAGGTCACCATTACTGGTATTGAAGGAAATCTGTCGATTGGAGATTTAATGCTGAAGACAGTTCAGGCTGCTGGTGAGTAAACATTCTAAAATCTTCTTTGTTTTTCTATATTTAATGATATAAGTAATATATATATATATATACTGTATATATATATTAAAGTTATTTTCAAGCAATGCCAGTAAAATCGACAAATTACTAATTATTTTCTGTTAGAAAGAAGAATTGACAGATTATGAGTATTAAAAATGTAGTAGTTGTGTAACAAACTTATTGAATTTAATTAAATTGCAGTAAATAATATTTGTAACTACTGGTAGATGATTTCAGCAGCCAGTTTATAACTGTAGGTGTATTGTTATTCAGATGGCATGCTTAGATGGCCTACCTCAACATCTTTAGTGGATAGATTCAGTTTTTGTCCTTAGTTTGCAGTTTGTGCCTTTTGGAAACCTAACAGCAAAGCAATAATGAGGTCAGAATCCAACCAACCATGGCATTTATTACAGTAATTTCAATTGTGTGCAGTTATTATCAAGTTAATTAATGAGGTATTATTATTATCATAGCTTTGGAGTGATATAGAAATGTACTAGCTGTAACTACCGGTAACTGATGGCAAGTATAGTATTCAATGCTACTAGTAGCAAACTTATGAAGATGATTAATCTTTTCATAATTAATTGATTTTCAATGTATGTCTCTATTTGGTAAGTAGATGCCTTCTTAGAAAAACAGGAATCCTTTGAGTCTGATATTTCCTCTGGTATGTTACTACTGTCTTTTCTTGATCTCACATTTTCTTTTATTTTCTTCGCAAATTCAATTCAATATAATTTCCAATACACAATGAATCGCTATCTCTAGGGATAGACACTAATAGCAATAATTTGATGCACAATTATTTAAAAGATATTTTTTTAAAGTTTGGAATTGCTTGGCTTTTCAAAGTATGAGTGAAGTATTTAAGATGTTTAACAGATGTTTGACAGATGTACATTGTACATTGTACATGTACAATTTACTTTCCTGATTCTTGTTTCACAGCAAAATTTACACAATCTTAACATAGAATAACATTTTAGTTGTAATAATGTTTGTAATTTTCCAGAACTTGTTTATTTTCCCTTTAATGATATGCACTGTAGCACCAGCAACAAAGTATCAAATTACAGAGTAGTCACAAGATAGCACTATTTATTTCAGCCTCTACCAGCTGTAGCATAGACTTAAGAGACTACATGTACATGTACATGCACAAGCTTGCACCCAGACATAAGCTTAATATTGTGTCACATAAAATTACAGAAAGTTATGTGGATGTCATAATATAATTATAAAATATGTTGTAATTGAATGTTTTAACCAAATAGTGAGATACTTGCCTTGAACATTCACCTTCTCTAGTATCGTTAATAATTTGAAGAACAGAGCTACACTACATGTATATTAAAATTGTACAATATTCAAGTCCTTGATTTCTTGTCAGGACAAGGAAATGATAGAGACATGACAGAACTCCCACAACACATACTCTGTACAAACTACAAACTCCTTACAAAATGTCTACCAGTAGTTAGATTGCATTCATTGCAGTTGAACATGGACATAAAAATCAATGACAGACCCTAACATTTTAGTAGAGTTTCAACATTTTCTGTTAAGAGTTTCATATGGTGTGTCCATATATCACACGGTTCACGGTTCGAGTCCCGCCGTGGTACTAATGTCCTCTGGCAAGACATTAATCTACACTTGCCACTCTCCACCCAGGTGTTAAATGAGTACCGGTAGGAAGGAATTCTTTAAATGCTGTGAGCGTTGAAATTGGCAGCCTAGCATAGCCGGGTAATGTTTGAGGACCTTTCAATGTCGATACGTGCACTATACAATGTATAAGAATCCAATATTATTATTATTATTATTAAGATCCCTTAAAATTTGAAGTTGAAGATGATCAAAAACAAGCATCTAAGGTTTCACAAACGTGGGAGTATATGTTGCAAAGTAAAGAAAGTTGATGACACACTGTTGGTGGATTTCCTGTCTGTTCCCTATGTGTAGCATGTAGATAAAGACAGCCTAGACTGAGGTGATACTACACCATCTCCTCTTCTGTCAAGATCAGATAAACCCATGTAATGTACATGTACTTCCTCAATCTGTGCTAGCTAAGGAATATAATCTGTGGTTTCTATACACATGCTTCATTGAGACCTTGTAAACATGGATGCATCTGCCATTGGTAGTATTCCACTGAGCTTTTCCCCTTCATTAACTTCAACGCAACATCAAGTATGCTTATGTACACATACAGTACATGCACAGTGTAAGATTGCGTATAGTTGTATTTTGTTGCCATGCTATCGTTTTCTTTTAAAAACCTGTTAATGTTCACTTAAGAGAACACATTTACATCAGACCTTATACTAATCTACTTTTGTAAATCTGCTGTTCCTTTACATGTTTGCCCAGTTTAGTAAGAAGTAGAAATTTAACAATACCATCACACAAAGGGTTACTCATAAATGATGATGAATGCATGACATGTAGTTATCTCTTCATGGTCCAGAGACTTTCTGTCTTGAAGCTTGAATACGTACATGTACATGTACATACATGTAGGCCTATAATTTTACTTATTTCTTGACGTGTCAAGAAGGCTAGATTGTTTTCTGAAGAAAGAGTGGCAGTGTAAAGTACATATACTGTACAGTGTACATGTATTTGGTTACAAATCTAATCTATGCCCTTCAGTACTTGTCATTTTTTTTGTTTAAAGGAATGAAAAACAAAATGCAAACTGATGGTTTATGTAAGTTGTACGATTTCATACATAGTAAAGGTTATAAATTAAATGCCTATTTATTGATAACAGTTTTCTTGCAAGATTGAGTTAGCTCCTGAGTGAGTAAGATCTCTGAAGGTGATAGCATGCCAAGTCTTGACCTAACCTATGAATTAAGGTCAAGTAAAAGGGAGAGCCTCAGGTAGAAATACTTCGCTAGTCTCGTTCTTATGAAATTTGTCCTGGAAATTAACAATGTTAAGGAGATTATTCAAAATTAACAAGAAACAAGTATGTCCCGATATATATGCAAGCCAATTTGTTCTTTGCTTCATTCACATGTAGAGGGCTAGATGTACTTTACATTCAATCTTGATGAATATAAAAGTACTGACAGAATAAAGTGTGTATTTGCAGACTAATATTTGACAGGTCCAAGTATGAATCCAAATTGTATATGAAATCCAATCTTCCTAGTTTAAATTCTCTGTAGCTTGGGCAAGTCCTATATTTTTCTTCTCACATCACTACAAATCACAATCTACTTTGGATTGAAATCTATTTTGGAATTATTCTTTAAGAAATCTAGGACATTCCTTCTCTGGAATTTGATGAAGCATTTATAAAGGAACAAGTGACATGGGGAAACTTTGGGGTGTTTCTGTTTTGGCTCAAAAATATGTTGTTTTTTCAACTTCAAAGAAAATATTTGTAATCTTTGTCATAATAATGGAGTGACCTCCCCAATGTGAAAGTGTTTTGTTTTCATCAGTACCACAAAATACATTTCCATATTTATATATTAAAAAGTGCATTTGCCTGTAAGCTCATACTAAAAGTAACTTTCCTTTAAATGTAAACTAAAGCAATTTTAATTTGTGAGAGACTTTCCTCAACTCCAATGTCTAGACTGTAGTGTAGAGTGATTTATCGTTTTGGCTTTTACCCGTAAGGAAAATATTCATCATTTTGAATGGACTTACATATAGTAGATATTTTACAGAATTTGCTTGCTCAATATTCTGTCAAAGCATATGTTTTGTGGCTAGAGTACGAATATCACCTAAAGATTGAATAATAGAACAGGCAAAATTTCCCTTTTCTCAAGGGTGAATACCTAGTAAAATATACATTCAAAGAAAGACTGTAAACCAGCACTTTCACTTACTGTGTCTATATTTAGAATGTGACATAATTGTTCTCTTTCCCCCTGTATGCTTGCTGGTCAGGTTAGGAAGCTTGGGGGAGCCAGGGTTATGATGAGTGCCTCAAGACCTGCACACAGCTAGGGGAATTACAATGTATGCAGGGAGATTCCCTCATACGCCTGTAGAGTGTCCAAACGAGACATGCTCTCTTCATGCGTACAGGGAAAATGTGCATTATTAACACGCACGGCCTCTGACTCATCACACCAAACCAAACCAAACCACTTTCTATTTGAATGATTTCAGGATTAGAAAATGAAAATGATAGCCATTGAGAGGAAATCAAATCTGAGATTGAAGTAGGTTGATAATTTGGTATTGGGCGATGAAATGAATAATTAGTTCATTTAGATCAAAGTACCGATGGCTTTATTACAGGGTAATGGCAAATGAATATTACATCAACTCACATTTAGCCTTTGCATGTATACATTGTATATTACACTTGTCTTAGAAGGTGTTGTACACTGCATGGTCCTAAGTACAAACACACATAATGCAAGCCACATTGCATAATACGCATGCATGCTTTGTTGATCTGGCTTAATATAAAGTCCATTATAAAGTGATTCTTTCTGGGCATTAGATATTACTCATCTCAATACAATGCTGCCTTGTCAGTCTGTATCTTGGTCAACACAGCTTTTCTCATGGTGTTTGCCCAGCACAGAGTCTATTGTAACGGTTGACAATGGTACAGTGAATAATGACAGATGGATGCAACCCTATAGTGGAAATGATTTAGATTTTTTTCTTCCCATAATGAGATATTAGACCTCTATGCAACTGTTATTGGGGGTAAATTCCATATATACAAATTGACAATGTAATGTCTTTAATAATTGGACCTTCATTGTACACCAACATGTATAATGAAATTAATTCAATACACCTTTGAAAATCTTTGTAATTTCTGTCAATTTCAAAACTGTTGTACTACATTGCCTTTATATGATGTGAAATACACTCCAGTTTGTCTTACGTTGAAGTGTAGATAACATGTGCACAAATGCTTGTATGGATACAATGATCAAGAGGAACCTACTTGTAACGGTAATACAGTTTTGTGTCATTGC